TCCTTCTCTTCTCCAGGTGAACCCCCCAGCTCTCCCAGCCTGGCTCCAGAGCAGAGGGGCTCCAGCCCTCGGAGCATCTCCATGGCTTCCTCTGGACTTGCTCCAACAGCTCCATGTCCTTCTGTTGTTCCCCGGAGCTGGAGGCAGCTCTGCAGGGAGGGGTCTCACCAGAGCAGAGAGGGAAGAAAAAGAAGAAGGAAAGGAGGAGAGGAGGGAAGCCAAGGAGCTGCGGCTTCGGGACAAGTCTGGCATCGCTCGGCAGCGCTGCCGGGCGGGGAAGGATGGGATGAGAGGGGATGGATGGGGCGGGGAGCGGGGATGGTCCCGCGTCCGGCGATTCCAGCGATCCCGGCTGCCCGCTGCCGCCGCCTGCCGCCCGCGCGGGGCTGCGCACCGGGACACGCACCCGCGGAACAGCAGGACCCCTCCCTGTGCCCCCGCACCCCCCCGGTGGTCCCTGCTCACACCCACGGGTGGCACAGCCCGGCACCCACAGGTGACGATCAGAGACAGCCCAGACATGCACACGCCTGAACCCTCACACACGCACAGCTGCCTCCTTTCCCTTTCCTTTCCTTTTCCCTTTCCTCTTTCTTTTCCTCTTCTTCCTTCTTTCTTTTCCCCTTTCCTTTCCCTTCCCGAAATTTTCTTTCATTTCCTTTCCTGAAACTTCCTTTCCTTCTTTCCTTCCCTCTCCCCCTTCAACCCACTCTTCCTCCCCAACCCAGAGGTGATCCCCTCCTGCTCTCCCTGCCGTTGCCCTGATCCCAGACACTCTCCCGCAACTCCCTGCACCCACCGGCACCCTCCCGACTCCCCCCCGTGCCCGGATCCCGCCGCGGGGCCGCGTGTGGTGCAGCCGCCCAGGGACTCTCCCTTGGTTGCGTTGGAAACACCACCGAGCCCCAAACACTTTCCTTGCCCGTTCCGATCATCCCACAGCTGGGACAACCCCTACTCCGGGCAGGGCTTGTGCAACTGGGAAGCGTTGCTCCATAGCCCCCTTCCTGCCCAAAGCCTTCCCACCCCCGGGGCTGCTTTCTTTCCCGTTGTTTTCCTCCCCCTGGCAGACCTGGCAGGATTGCAGCCCCCCGAAACGCAGCGGGAGGAGGTGGCTGCAGCCCCTGGATCCCCCATGGGACGAGCCCGCGGCTCTCGGCAGAATTCCCAGCTTCCCAGGGCTGTTTTCTCCTCTGGGACGAGCCCGCTGCAATAGCACAGCTGGAAGCAATCGGCAGGATTTCACCCGGTGACTCAGAGCGGGTCTGTTGTCTTCCCAAATCCGAGGGACCGAGCAGCCCCCCAGAACTCCCCCCTCCCGGGGACACTGTGACAGTCAGGATGGAGGGACACGGAGGCCAGACCTGCCTCTGTCTGTCAATTTAAATCAGGGTGTTTGGGTGTGTTTAAGATTTCAGGTGCACCTTCCCAGCAAAGAAATCCCGCAGTTCTCTGAGGAAAAACTCCGGGGTATCAGCACCGTGCGGGTTCCCCATCCCTGTGTTCCGATCCCAGGACGCGGGACCCTGGGTGCCTCCCCAGCCTGTCAGTGCATCATTTGGACAACGGGAACACCCACCCGCCCACTCCGGGGAGCTGCGAATCCCCAAATCCCGCCGCCTGCCTGGAAAGAGTGAAAGGCTTAAATAGCCTGGTGGGTGTTTAGTCTGGGGAAACCGGAGCTGGGCAAGACGTGTGGGAAAGGACACTGGGGAGGGGAAGGCGATGCTCTGGTGCCCGGGAAGGACAGAAAGATGAGTGAGGAAGCACCAGCCGGTGTTAATCCAGTGCTCCCGAGGAGGGAAGAGGTTGGCTCCTCTCCGCAGGACTCTCTCCCAGCCCTGTTTGCTCCGCATGCGAATATCCAGGAGGAGCTGCCAAAGCCGCCGCTCCCGGCCAGCCGCGTCCCTCCATCCGGCTCCGGCCGCTGCCAAAACCCTCCGCGTCTAACGAGCTCTAAATTAGGTTATTCAGACACTGCCACAAACACTTCCAAAGGGAGCGCTGAGCCGGAGGAAAGGCGAGAAAATCCCAGTGCGGCCGCAGCGGGCTGTGCCGCTGACAAAGAGCAGGCGGACACGGCTTCTCCCGGCAGCAGCGGCTCTTTGCGAAAAGCCTGGCTTGGCAATAACGGGGAAAAGCGGTGGGACAGGCACCTACTCTCCACCCCGAGGAGAAGCCGTAGGGAGCCAGTAAGAGTTTTGGGAAAAAAAAAAAAAAAAAAAAAAAAAAAAAAAAAAAAAAAAAAAAAAAAAAAACACAAAAAACCAACTAAAATTCCTTGTGGGTGCTTCAAGTTTTTCCAGCTCCTCATTTGTTTCTGGGGTTTGTGGCTGCTCTTTCTTCCGCTTCGGGTTGTTTTTATCCTGGAATGTGACCGGCGAGAAGGGGGTCACGTCGGAAGGGTGACGAACGGCAGGGATTCGTCATGCGGGGTGATGAGACTTTCTCAAAATCGTTTTCGCCTCCCCAAATAGCTACAATATATGCAAATGAACCCAAAGAAAAGGGGACGCGGTGCATCTGGCTGCCCACGCTGGGTTCTCTCCCCGGGGAGACGGAGGAGGGAGATGTCTGCGGTCACACCTATCCCGGCTCCGAGGGGGATCCCCCCCTCTCCGCAGAGGAGGATGGCCGCTGTGGCCAGCTTTGCTCAGCGTCAGACCCTCCAGCAGCTGGGGAAGGAATTGGGATCAGGTGAAAGCTCTGCCAGGCTGCTCTGACATCCCCAGCCACCTCTGCCCTGGGTGGCTGCCTCCTGTGCCTGTGCCCGGCGCCTTGGAGGCATAGCCAGACCAGGAGATGGTCCCAAAAAACCTTCTCCATGCCAGGCTTTCCCCATCGAATAGTGCAAGGACAGGAACAGCAGCATCTCCTGGTCCTTTGGGGTTTCCAGCCACAGATGGTGCAACAAGGGGCAACACCCACCCAGCCCAAAAGGGACTATTTTTGTCACGGTTCTTCCTTCTCCTCTTGTCAAGCAACGCATTTCTGCTGACTTTGGCCTTCTGGTGGCTGTCAAGGAACTTCCCAGTGGTGATGGAGACATCCAGCACTTCTCCATCAAAAGAGATGCTGGAGTGTGAAGTGTCAGTGCTTAGCTGGCAGCACATCCCTGGGATAGTCACAGAATCCCAGAATGGTTTGGGATGGGAGGGACCTTAAAGCCCATCTCATTCCATACCCCTGCCGTGGGCAGGGACACCTTCCACTGTCCCAGGTTGCTCCAAGCCCCATCCAACCTGGCCCTGGCATTTCCAGCACTGCAGCAGGGCTGGCACCAATTACTCCAGGGATCATGACAGTCATTGTCCTCCTGGTAAATCAGCTCTCCAAAACTCTGCTTCCCAATCTTCACCCAGGGGAAAACCTGAGGGATTCCACCACATCTTTCCCTTTCTCCCCACCTCTGGGATCACCACAGGGAGCTGACAGCAGTTGGTGGGTGCTGCTCCAGGACCCAGGGTGCTGGACCAGCTAAAGAAGGCAGAGGGTGTGTATTCCAGGCACCGTTTTGGGGGATATCACTCGGATTCCTTCCCAGGGCTGGCTGAATTTCCTCTCCCCCTGGCCCCAGGCAGGAAGCAGCTCCTGGATTCACGTTCAGCCCTAGTGAGGGCAGCACTTCAACACCAATCGTTGTCCAGAGCTGAGCTGCAACGAGTTTTGCCTTCCAGAACTGGGACTTTCACCGGCACAGCCACAAACAGTCCCTACCCTCTCTGCAGGAGAAGTCACGAGTTCCCTTCACGCAGTGTAAGAACTGCAGCCCATCACTAAAACATGCCATGCTGATGTCTGGGCCCTTAGACTTCCTTTCCCACCCCTCCTGTCATCTTGATACTTCCCTGTGCTTCATGTACACTCATCCAGCACAGCAAAGAGGGGCCTGAAAGCAGACAAGACACGGTTTCATGCTTATTCATCATCACATGCATCCTGCAAGGTGGTGCATGTGTTATGCAGTGGAGTTTCTGTGGTTAGAAACCCCTCTGCTTTTCCTGGAAGAAGCTCTGGGGGCTTTTCCTGGAGTTTGCTGGTGGGACAGAGGAGCACTGGCGTGGGCTGGGGTAAGAGGGGGCTCAGCAGAGGTGCCACCACACGGCAGGTGTGTGGGATGAGGTGCAGGTAGAAGTGGTACCTGGTCGGGTTGAATCATGTCACAGAATCACAGACTGGTTTGGGTTGGAAGGGACCTGAAAGATCATCCAGTTCCAACCCCCCTGCAATAGGCAGGGACACCTTCCACTAGATCAGGTTGCTCCAAGCCCTGTGACACCCCCAGGGACTCAGCCCCAGCGCCCTGTCCTCTGTCACCCCACTAAAGTCTCAGCCCCCCTTACCGATAACTCCTCGCCGTGTGCTTGGACCCAACGCCCTTACCCGTGACCACCCCCGGGGCTCAGCCCTGTCCCCTTTCCGGCACCCCCCGCTCCCGAGGGGCTCAGATGCAGCTCCCTCCCTTCCAGTGCCTAATCCCGGAGCCCCTCCCCTGTAATCCCCCCGGCACTCACTCCTGGCCCCTTCCCCTCCCTCTTCCCGGGAACCGCGGCTCTCCCGGGGTAGCAGCGCATCCCCCTCCCCGCAGCCGCGCTCCGACGGCCGGGGCGGGCCGGGCGGCGAGAAGGGGCCGTCCCGGGGGCCGTGCCCGGCTGTACCGCACCTCCTTCCCTTCTCCCTCCTCCTCCTTCCTCCCTCCTCCCTCCGCGGGGACCGCCCGCCCCGCTGGGACAGTCGCCGCCGGCAGCCGCGGCGCGGTGCGGTGCGGGACATCCATCCCAGCTCGCTGCGGGACGTCCATCCAATCTCGTGGCGGTGCGGGACATCCATTCCATCCCGGGACAGTGCGGGACATCATCATCCCATCCCAGTGCGGTGCGGGACATCATCCCATCCCGGCGCGGTGCGGGACACTCATCTCGCTCAGCCCAGTGCGGCGCGGGCCATCCCAGCGCAGAACGGGACATCCACTCTCCCGTCCCGCTGCGGGCCACCCCGGCATGGAGACGAAGGGCTACCAGTGCCGCAGCAGCCGCTACATCGAGAGCGGGCAGTCGGCCGTGCCCAGCTCGGTGCTGTTCGCCGCCGGGCTTTTGGGGAACGTCCTGGCCTTGCTGCTGCTGGGTCAGCACCGGCGGCGTTCCCGGTCCCCCGGGGGCCGCCCGCCGCGGGTCTCGGCGTTCTACGTGCTGGTGACCGTGCTGGCCGTCACCGACCTGCTGGGCAAGTGCCTGCTCAGCCCCATCGTGCTGGCCGCCTACGCCTACAACCGCAGCCTCAGCGAGCTGGGGCCGGGCGGGCGCGGCGAGGACGAGCCGGGCGTCCTGTGCCAGCTCTTCGCCTTCCTCATGGCCTTCTTCGGGCTGGCCCCCACCCTGCTGCTGCTGGCCATGGCGCTGGAGTGCTGGCTGTCGCTGGGGCACCCCTACTTCTACCGGCGGCACCTCACCCGCCGGCTGGGGGTCGCGCTGGGGCCGGCGGCGGGCGGGCTGTGCGCGCTGTTCTGCGCCCTGCCCCTGCTGGGCTTCGGGGTGCCCATGCAGTACTGCCCGGGCACATGGTGCTTCATCCGCATGGCCGGCGGGGGCCCGCGGGAGCTGGGCTTCCCCGTGCTCTACGCCGGCCTCATGGGGCTGCTGGTGGTGGCCATCGGCGCCTGCAACGTGAGCAGCATGAGGCACCTGTACGGCATGGCCCGCCGGCAGCCCCGCAGAGGGGCACCCCCAGCCGCCGCCGCCCCCCGCATGGAGGAGCTCGACCACCTCGTCCTGCTCGGGCTCATGACCGTCCTCTTCACCGTCTGCTCCCTGCCGCTCATCGTGAGTAATCCCGGCGGCCCCCTCCTCCTGAGGGCACCCCCTGGCCAGTCCCAGCCCCCTTCCTACGACCCCGGGAGCTCGGGTGGTTGATTTACCGCCCCACCCCCACAGCCCCCCCCTTAAAATACCTGCCACCCCTTCCCCAGGTTAACTCCCTTGGGAAATAATCCTTCCTCACCACCACCTCCTTCCAAGGAGGTTGGATTTGCCCCCCTTGGAATAGCCTCTCACTCTGTCCGGGGGGGTCAGGCCATTGCCTAAAACTCCTTAGAACAACCCTCACCTCCCCCCCGCAATCACCATTCAGTCCTGGGGTGCTCAAACTCTTGATTTTTCCCTTTGAAATAAAATCTGGCACCACCTCCTGCTTCTGGGATCTCAGGGCAGTACTTCGTGCCCCTCTAAATACTCCAACACTCTACCCACAGAACTGCCTAAAATCCCTTGGAATAAACCCCCCATCATCACCACCCACTCCGGGGGGGGGGGTCAGGCCGTTGCTTTAGGCCCTTGGAATAAGCCCTGGCACCACTACCCACACCCAGAGGTGTGTGGGGGTTCATTACTTTAGTCCCCTCTGAATAACCCATCCCTATTCTCCTGCCTCCGAGGTTCAGGTCACTGCTTTAATCCCCTTGGAATAAGCCCTCCTGGCACCACCATCCCATTTCTGGGAGGCTGCCCACCCTCAACACCAAGACCATGTCCCCAGTCCTTAATTTATTGCTTTAAACCTCATGGAAACCCCTCCCCTCCCCCCCCATAACCATCACTCTGTGCCAGAGGTGTCAGGGGAGTCGGATAATTACTTTTCCCCCTCTCTGAGTGTCCCCCACCCTGATCCAAGGGATGTGGCTGTTGCTTTAACCCCTTGTCCTGGGATGGGAAGGGTTAATTCATTGCTCTAATCCTGCTGGAATAACCACAACACCCCCAGCGCCCTGTCCTGGGGGTTGATTTGTTGCTCAAACTTCCTTGGAATATCCTCATGCAACACAACCCTTCCCTGGGGAGGGTCAGATCATTCCATTGCCCCCCCCCCCCCCCAGAATACCCACTCTGCCCCCAGGGGTTAGTTCATTGCTTTAACCCCCCTGGAATAACCCCTCCATCACCACCCCTCTGTTCCTTTGGGGTTGCCCCAGAGGTGTTTAAGTTTTGGGAGGATGTCAGTTAGACATTAGCATTAGACCCTTCAGTAATCCCCCCATTCCCAGCCCCCTGTCCCAAAGGTGCTGAGTAGACCCTTTGAACTGCACTGGATTTCATGACCTGGGGGAAATACCCCCTGAAATCCCCCCATTTCTTCCCCAGGAATGGGTGTCCTGCTGGTAGGGTGGGGATGGGAGACCCTCAGTGTGGCAGAGCCTTTGTTGCCCCCACTCCAAGTCCTGGGGCCAGATCCTGCAGCCCCACTTTGGTATCACCCTCTGTGGGCAGAGCCAGTGCCACAGGGGGGGCTCCCCGAGATCAGGGTGGGGTTGGGTCTGTAGGTGCTGCCACTGCCCTGGTTGACAACTTCCACCTCCTTTTCCTGTTCACTCTATCACCTCTGGAATCAAATAATGACACATCAGCCACCCAACAGCCCTGGCACAACTCCCTTATGCTGGTTTTGTGATCACCTCAGTGAAAACCCCGTGGTGCTCAAACAACCAGGCTGAATCCCTGCCAAGATCCTCAGACAAGCAGGGTGAATCCCTGCCAAGTTATCCAGTCCAGTATCCACGGCAGGGGGGGCAGGGCAGCATAAGCAGGGTGCCCCAACCTGCACCCACTGCTGCAGCCCGTGGAGGTTGAATGCTTCCGTCATCCACGAAACAATCCCAAGTCACCTCGGGGTTGGAGAGGGGCCACCTCTCCAGCTCTAACATCCTGGCCCTGCCATAACCACCCCTGATCCAGCCCCAGCTCCCAGCTGGATCTGCCACCCACAGCATGTGTGATGTGTAGGGATGTCGGGGGTTAAAACTTCCTGTCCCCCGCAGGGATTTTTTTTTTTTTTTTTAATCTCTCCAAGGAGATCTTCCCTAATTTTCCCCCTATTTCCTTGATGTCTTTGCCAGATCCGGGCGTACATGGGGGCCTTCGCCGCCGACATCAACGAGAACGCCGATCTCAGCGCCCTGCGGTTCCTCTCCGTGAACTCCATCGTGGATCCCTGGGTCTTCATCATCTTCCGCACCTCCGTGTTCCGCTCGTTCGTCCGCAGGGTTTGCCGGAGGCTCCACTCCCGCAAATCCAGCCTGAAAGGGTCCGGCCTGGGCGGTGACGGCCAGTTCTGTCCCCCGGGCTGGCGCAGGACAGACCCGCCGCGGCTCGGCATCCCCTGAGATGTGGCTCTGGCACAAGCCGGCGGCTGCTGGTGAGGATGAGGAGCCCTCGGCCCCGCATTCCTGCCCTGGAGCATCCCGAGGCAGCAGAGGGCTGTGGCAGGGAGGGACAGCGTCCAGCTGGCGGCGAGGGGCGCTGCGAAGGGTTTCTGTCCCCTCCCCAGGCTGCGTTTCGCCCCGGAGAGGAAGCGGGGCGGGGCTCCCGGGTACCTGTGAATTTTCCGAGCAGCAGCGCTTTGTGGAGGGTTTGGGGAGCGCCCGGCTCCAGGAAAGCAGGAGGGGTTCGGTGTGTGGCTTCAGGGCAGGGAGGACACACAGGGAGGAGAACTGTGTGTGTGTGTCCCCATCGAATAAAGTGGTTCAGAGCCCTGTTCCGTGGCCTTGTCCTGTGAGTGATCCCCTCCCACCCCACGGGGGGGGTTATCTGGAGCTGGTTTGGGGTGTCCCTGGACTGGGTGAGGGTGGTGAGGGAACCCGTGGGGGTTTGGAGGCTCAGAAAGTTGAGCAGCATCTCCTGGTGTGACGAGGAGCCAGAGGATCCCTCCCCAGGATCCTCCATGTCCCCCGAGCAGGGCTGTGGTTTCTCTGCCGTTATCTTGCTCCTCTCTGGAAAATCGATTCCCCCGAGCGCTGCTGCTGCGTTTGTGTTACTCAGATGTACCTGTCCCGCTGTAATTATTTTAATTCAGTATTTATGATCATCCCAAGCCTTAATAAGAGCAATAATTGAGAGAACACAGAGCCTGGTACGAGCTCTCGGTGCAAGCGTGCAGGCGAACGATCATTTTAATGAAAGATCCATTTCCCCTCAATCACACGTTATTAGCTGGGTTTAATATCTGCCTCAAGTGACCATTTAGGCCAAAAAAATTACGATGACCAACTGCTCGGTGTCCTTGGAGGAGACAGGGAGAATATTTCCCTCTGTTTAGTTAAGCCTTGCAAGGTGTAGCCGTGTTCCTGCCCGCTTTCACGTGATGTTTGCTCTTGGTGTCAAATAGATTGTTTTTGAAGGAAGGAACTCTGTCTTGGGGCTTTCTGGAGGTGACCTGCTTGGGGTTGGCTCTGGCTGTTTGATCAGCCAGGTTTTCCCAGCTGGAGGAAAGGGAAGAGCTTTGTTCGGGGATGTTCTGGGGGGACCTTCAAGCTCCCCTGTCCGGTGTCTCTCCTCGAGGTTTTCTAAGGAGAGAGAAATGAAGTGAGGGTTGGTTCAGGGATTGGTTTCATGTTACTGGCTGGGTATTGACTTGGAGATGGCTCACGTGGGGCTGCAGAGTCAACAGCTCCGAGCCTGCGCCGTGGCTTTCCCTGGGCCTGTTCCATTGTGGCCGGATGAGGGAATGGTTCTGGAAAACCTTGCTGTCATCCCCCCTAACCTGGGATCTTTTTCAGTGTAGAAGTCCATTCTCCCCTCAGGATAGATGGACCAGGCATGGCCAGGCTGGGGGTGTTCAGTAACACAGAATCACAGAATTGTTAAGGTGGAAAAGACCTCCAGAGGTCACTGATCCAACAATTAACATGAGCCGTGGGTGCTCTGTGTGTGCCCAGGCTGGGACAGGGCGTCATCTGCCCATGATCCCAGTGAGGATTCACTCCCAGAGAGGCTTCAGGAGAGGTCTCTGCCCCAGGAGAGGTCTGCCCCGGAAAGGTCCCTGCTCTGGGAAAGGTCCCTGCCCTAGGAGAGGTCCCTGCCCCGGGAAAGGTCCCTGCCCCAGGAGGGGTCCCTGCCCCACAATACGTGTATTGAGGTCTCAGGGTAACCATGACCCACAGAAAGCAGTAATTAAATCAACACCAAACAAAACAGGTTCTTTATTAAGGTGGAATAACAGACTCCATCTGAGCCCTAAAATGATGCAAACACCACAGTCTGTAGCACATCCATGAGTTTATCATCACAGGAAAGAAACCCTGGAGCCACGAGCGCAGTGGGGGTTTGCAGGGTGACACCCCCCTGTCCCTGCAGCATCCCTGTGTCCCAGCTGGGACCATGCGAGTCCCAGTGACACGCTTAGACGGCTTGGGTAGCACTTTCAGTCGGAATTCTGCCCTTCCTGGTGTCCTACCTGCTGTGGGAGCAGACCTGGAGTCTCCAGCCGACCGCTGCTGCCTCCGGGCGAGCCAAGCGCCGGCTGCAGCCAACAGGGTTTGCAGTCGGGGCTGCGCGCCAGGGCGGCCTCCCAGCAGGCAAATCATCGCTCCTCGGCGTTCCTGGGGCCCGGGACTGCCGTATCCCCGTCCTCTCCAGAGATGGCAGCACGTCCCCAGCCAGGACTGCGCTCCCAGCCGGCCTGAGCACGAGGAGCGAGGAGGCGACGGATGTTCTCCATCCCGAACCGATCCCTCGGGCAAGCCGCTTTTTTAGTGCCCAAACGCTTATAGTTCGGGGCTCCGGAGGTTATGTCAAAGCTTAGATCCCCTTCTTCTTGCCGAGCTTGGGAAAAACGAAAATAAAAGGAAAATAAAGTAAAAATCAGATGAAAATTGAAATTAAAAAGTCCCAGCAACGCATGGTTTAGTCTTAAATGTTGCTAAAGAAGAACCAAAAAAGCCCAGGGGCTCAGGGATGTCCAGCCAAAGAGGTGAGAGCTGCTGTGGAGCCCTCTCTGATCCCATCCTCCTCCCAGGCTCCTTGCACTGCTCAGTCATTCCCCACGGGACCCCTCCGTGCCAGATCGCTCCCGTGCCAGCCATTCCCAGAGGGATGGACCTGATGCTTTAATGGAGGCAATAAAACGCTGCTCAGCTCGAGGACGTGTCTCACGCCAAACAGTGCTCTTTTTGGAGCCTGTTTTATGTCCCTGCCACCCTCCAGCACTACCCCATCCCACGCTGTCACTGGTGCCACCAGCATCACCTTCCCCCTGCATCCCTCTCCTTTCCTGGACTGGCTGGTTTGTTTCAGCTCACGAAATCCAGGCACAACTTTGCACAAGCTCATTTCCCGACAAATTGTTTAGTTCTTGCAAAGAGCCCTTTTTTTTTTTTTTTTTTTTTTTTATTGTCTGCCTGCATTTTTCAGCTATTCTGGAAGCAGGAAGGCACGTGCCTGGGCAGGCAGCAGTGCTGGGGCTGCCAGGCACCCCAGCCAGGGCTGTGAGGCACAAAACCAGCCCATAAGTGGGTTGAATTATTTTTTAACCCATGGATAACAAGCCAGGGCACTGAAACCCTGACCTGTTTCGCCAGGGGAGCGAGTGAGGCTGTTGGCATGAGATAAGGGACGGGGATGGGAAGGCTTGGTAAGAAAAATGATGTCTGCCTTTGCTAAAAATGAGTCAGATGGGTTTTGGTTTAAATGAATTGAAACCCACCCCTCCAAGTCCATCCTGCCACGCACAGGAGGGCTGGTCCCTTCCACGTCCACAGTGCCACAGCCACCCTTTAAAACCCACCAGGGATGGAGCAGGATCCCAACACCCTCCCCAGCCACAGGCACAAAACTCCACAGGTTGAGTCCTCCATATGAAATTCATGAAGCTTTCCTACAAACCCAGAGTGTTCTCTCCAACTGGGCCCACCCTGGAAATCTTCTCTTAGGGAAAGCGATGCCAATGACCCTTGGGAGGATGTACGAGGTGCTGGAGCACGTCCAGAGAAAGGAACTGAGCTTGGAAAGAGTCTGGAGCACCAGGAACAGCTGAGGGAGCTGGGGTGGGGCTCAGCCTGGAGAAAAGGAGGCTCAGGGGGGACCTTCTGGCTCTGCAACTCCCTGACAGGATGGGGAGCCAGTAGGGGTTGGGCTTTTCTTCTGACTGACAAGTGACAGGACAAGAGGAAATGGCTTCAAATTGCACGAGGGATGGTTTAGATTGGATATTATGGAAAATTTCTTCATGGAAAAGGTTGTCCAGCCCTCACACAGGCTGCCCAGGGCAGGAGTGGAATCCCCATCCCTGGAGGGACTTAAAAGCCGCGTGGATGTGGCACTTGAGGACATGGGGCAGTGGTGGTCTTGGCAGTGCTGGGGGAATGGTTGGACTGGATGATCTTAGAGGGCTTTTCCAACATAAACAATTCTGAGTTTCTATATGGACCTTGTTAGGGGCAAGACACATGAGCTAAACGTGGAAGCAAAGGAAGAAAACAAACCCTTCCCAAGAAACGGACAAATTGTACCAAGCGGTTTGTTCCTGGTTTTGAGCTCAGAAGGGGGAATAAAAGAAAACAAAAGCCCAGCAATTTTCTTATTATTGAAAAAAAAAAAAAAAAATCCCATCAGAGACAACTGTCAGTTGAGAAGCCTGAAACCCCAGATGGGTATTTAAGGCTCCATTAGCTGCCAGGAAAATGAGCTCCAGAAGAAGCCAAAACTCCTTCCTGAGCTGTGACACGGAGCACCAGAAAGGAGTGGGAGGCTGGGAAAAGCCTTGGAGCAATCCCCCTACGGGGTGCCTACTTCTTGGAAAAGGTCTCCAGGCGTGCAGATTGGAGCTGTGTGGGTAGGTCAGGGCAGGATTCAGCCTCAGCTCCTTTTTTAACCTGAATTTGTGGCTACCACAGAGGGCTGAGCCATGCCAGGGGCCCACCCAGCCCTCGGGAAGCCAGCAGGGTGGTTCCCACCATCGGATGTGTCCGTGTGCTTTGGTGGACCTGCTGGATCAGTTCCACAGGGCCGGGAGTTGGGGTTGGGGGGATAACAGAGCTCCTGGGATGTGTGTCTTCCCGGCCTACCTGAGTGCAGGGTTAGTCTGGGACGGCTAAAACACCATCCCCTCCATCGCATCCGTTGCTTGTGCCGTTGGGAACAGGGATGGGTGGAGCTGTGGTGGCCCTGCCGCCGGTGAGGTGGCAGCTCCTCCTCCCCAACCGCGCTGAAGAAGCCTTTGAGCCGCGTGGGAGAAGGAACCAAAGCCAGGAGTAGCAGTGGCCCCTCGGAAATGGAGGTGCTGTCGCAAACCACAGCCCACGAGTTTGCCCTGCGCCCAATTTCCTTTGCGAAGTTCCTGTTACAAAAGCAAGGTTTTAAAAACAACAGCCAAAAACGGGCCTGTGGCCGCAACCTGCCGTGCCTGTGCTGCAGTCACGGGCGCCGCAGCCTTTCACTGTGGTTTGGGGGACCAGGTGTGAGGGGTAAATGATAAATGAAGCGGTCACAGCTGCTGAAACAGTCCCAGGGCCATGGGGAGGGAAAAAGGCTTTCTACCTTTGAGGGGTGTGGAAATAACCTGTGAAGCACCAGCTGCTTAAATAAAGGCAGCTTGAGTGAGGGCTGGTGTCCTGAAGGATGAAAAGAGCATCCAAGACCTGTGGGCTTGAGCATGTGGATGTCCCATCCCTGGAAGTGTCCAAGGCCAGGTTGTTCAGGGTTTGGAGCAACCTGGTTTAGTGGAAGGTGTCCCTGCCCACGGTGGAATGAGACAATCTTAAAGGTCATGGCCAGACACCAACCACAGGCTGCACCCACATGGGAAGTTCTGATGACATATGAGAGAGGGGACAGCTGGGACATGGTGTGGTGCCAGCCATGGGGCAGGGAGTTCTCCGTGGGCTCCGGGCAGCTCTAGGGCCATGGGAACTTCCCACATGGACTGGTTTCAGCTGGGGCTCCCTGGTAGCCTCACATCAGACTGGGGAAGGTGGCAGTGGGGTTCATGGTGCTTTGGGGTCCTTGGGCCAGCACTGGGGCTGGCTGTGCCTTGGGAGTCCTGGAGCAGCACTGGGACTGCCAGACCAGCCCAGGACTGGCTGCGTGTGGGTCCCCTGGACTGATACCAGGGCTGGCCATGACACTGTGATCCCAGATCAGCACCAGGGCTACCTTGGTGTTGGGGCTCCCAAAGCCATAAAAACACCGGGGCTGGACATGAAAGGGGCTCCCAGACCAGCACTGGGACTCCTGGACCAGCACTGGGACTCTCAGACTGGCTGGGGACTGGACATTCGAGATGCTCCTGGTCCTCCGGGACCTGTGCGGGGCTCTTGGATCCCACACCGGGACTGGCTGTGCCTAGGCACTCTTGGAGCCACACTGAGGGTCCTGAACCGATACCGGGACTCTTGAACGGGCACCGGGGCTGGGAGTGCAAAGACTCCCGGGGCCGCTCCCAGACCGGCACCGGGGATGGCCGCGCGAGGCGCTCCCGGTCGGGCACTGGAGCCGGGCGTGCTTCGGGATTCCCGGGGCAATACCAGCGATCCTGCGGCCGCACCGGGACTGCCGGCACGACCCCGGGACTCCCTGACCTGCCCCGGGACTGGCCGTGCCCGGGGCTCCCAGACGGGCCCCGGGGCTCTCGGTCCGCCGGGGTCTGTCCGTGCGCGCCCCCCGCCTCCTCTCCCGTCCATCGCTCGGGGCCGGGGCCGGGGCCGGGGCGGTGCCGGGGGCGGAGGGCGGGGCGGTGCCGTCGGGGCGGGCGGTGCCGGTGGTGCCGGGGGCGGCAGCGCAGTCGGTCGTGCGGCGGCGGCGGCGGCGGCGGCGGCGGAGGGATGAACGGGACGGACCGGGAGTGCGAGCGCGGCGGGACAGCGCTGCCGGCCAAGGCTCACCCGCTGATCAGCGCCCTCATGTTCTCGGCCGGGCTCCTGGGCAACCTCCTGGCGCTGGGGCTGCTGCTGCACGGCCGCCGCGGGCCCCGACAGCGCCCGCCCGCGCTCTTCCACGTCCTGGTGCTGGCCCTGGTGGTCACCGACCTGCTGGGCACCTGCTCCGTCAGCCCCTTCGTGCTGGCGTCCTACCACCGCAACAGCACCCTCACCGCCCTGGCCCGTGGAGGGCACATCTGCCTCTACTTCGGCTTCGCCATGAGCTTCTTCGGCCTCGCCACCATGCTCATCCTCTTCACCATGGCGCTGGAGCGGTGCCTGGCCCTGGGGCGGCCGTACTTCTACGAGCGCTTCCTCAGCCCCCGCACGGGCTTGGTGGCCCTGCCCGCCATCTACACCTTCTCGGCCGCCTTCTGCTCGCTGCCCCTGCTGGGCTTCGGCCGCTACGTCCAGTACTGCCCCGGCACCTGGTGCTTCATCCAGATGCACCAGGATTCCCGCCGGGGGGCGGCCGGGCTGAACGTCACCTTCTCGCTGCTCTACGCCACGCTGCTGCTCTTCCTCATCCTGGCCGTGCTGCTCTGCAACCTGAGCGTGATGGTGAACCTGGCCCGCATGCACCGCCGCGGGCAGCGGGCGCGCCGCATGGCCACGCTCGAGCAGCCCCGCGCCGGCTCCGGCTGCGGCCGCCGCATCTTCTCCATGGCCGAGGAGATCGACCACCTCCTCCTCCTCTCCATCATGACCATCACCTTCGTCATCTGCTCCCTGCCCTTCACGGTGAGTGCGGCCGCCTCTCCCACCCCGGGATGGGGTCCCCTCTGCCCACGCTTCTCTCTTTCCCTCCGTAAGGCTCGCCCCCAACTCCGCCGTCCAAATCCCAAGGGTTGAGGTCAAAGCTTTGCTCTTCCTGGAGTTTGGGAGACCCCAGCTCGGCCACGAACTCGTGGCGGTTTTCACATCCCTTGGGGAGCACGGGGGGAATCGCTCCCCGTGTCCCCAGTGCCAGGAGAAGGATGGGGTGTCAGGATCACAGGGTGGCAGGAGGATGCAGTGTCAGGAGAAAGGAGTGGCAGTAGGATGGGGTGGCAGAAGGATGAGGTGGCAGGAGTGCCCTCCCGCCCCACGGAAGCTCCAAGGCCAGCCAGGCTCGAGCAGGGACCAGGATGGTGATCACCTGGACCACACGGCATCACCGCAGTTCCCAGGAGCCAGGCACTCCTGGTGGAGGTGTGAGAGATGGCAGAGCAATCGATTAAACATCCAAAGGTGGGGATGAAGGAGATGCCCTGGGCTGGAGGCAGTGGGTGTCTGTGCTGGAGGGATGAGTTATCCTGGAGTTCTGTGCATGGAACTGGAGATGCAGGGCTTGTCCCCACATACCATGCCTCCTCCATGCACGAGGCTTCCAGCAGAAATCCAGGTTGAACTCCCGCAGCGGAGTGAGGATGTGTAGAAAACAAGTCCCCTGACTCTGCTTGGGGCTGTCCCCTCCAAAGGGCCACTTTTCATCCATCCAAATGGTGTTACACCGGGAGCATCTTGGACTCCGGAGCACCTCGGTCCTCTGGCCATGTGTGTGAGCCCCCGCCACAGGAGGTCATTTTGTTCCCATTAGGAGGGAACCCCACCAAGGTTTGGAGTGCAGCCAGTGCTAATTCTGTGCTAAACAGGCTCTACCTTCCCTTCATGCTCCCCTTCTTTTCCTAAAAGAAAAGAAAATAAGCACAGGGTACAGCCGAGCCAGGCTGCCGGGGTTTTAGGACAAAGGAGTAATGTTCGGATGCTCGTGAACGCCCCAGGAGCCAGACTGAACGCCCTGAGAGACACTTCAGCTCCTGACAACGGTCTCACACATCCTGAGTGTTTTTTGTGTCCCAAAAAAGCCCGGGTTTGGCTGCTGTGGTCATTACGAAGTGGAACCCTTTGGTGGGGACACGTGCGCAGAGCGCTGCGAGTCTGCTTGGGGCAGATGGGATGGGAAAGCGGCGCTGGCGGGGATCCCATGGGCCCTGTGGCAGCAGATATAGCCTTATCCAGGGCCAGCTTCCCTTTTCCCATCGCCCAGCTCCCGTGCAGGGCTGTGTTTGGGCTGCGTTTTGGCAGCCTCTCAAACCAAACGCCGCCAGTGCCTCCTTGGGGGTGACACTTTCTCTCCTGTCTGGGGCTGCCCACGGCCACCACCCACCCTCCCCCCAGGAACAGCCAGCACACGAACCCATCAGGCCACAAAATCCTCCCCCCCTCCAAAAAAAAAACTCTGGGACAACTCTTGGAAACGCAGCATGGCCACCTCGTGCCCTGGGATGCGCCATCCCCTCGTGGTACCCAACAGATCCCCGCTGGAGGAGGGATGCTCGTGGTTCCCACCCTCATCCAAGCATCCCTTTGCCCTCGAAGCGAGGGGGAGGGGGGGTGGTGATCCGACCCGTGTGAGTAAGGAGTGCTGAGTCACCCTTCCAGGAAGCCCCGTGGGCCGCTGTGAGTCGGCAGGTTGTGGGAAGGGCGGGAGCAGTCCCGGCCCCCTCATCCTCTCCTCCTCACGCGTGGCGTTCGTCCCGTGTGGTTTTCAAGGGGAGACCCAACCACCTCCTTCCGCAGCCGCGGCTTTAATCGCCCTGGGGCCAAACGGGCTGGGAGCAGAGCACGGGGCTGGCTTTTGTTCGTGGGAAGTTCATTTAAGCCCCTGGAGGGAGGGAGCAAATTTGCTGTGACAGCACAAGAAGCTGCCTGGGGGCCGGATCCTGGAAGCCCAGGCTCGGCATTATTTGTCCTTGGGATTTCTCCCTGGTTGAAGGAGGTGATTCTGCCCCTCTCCTCTGCTCTGGTGGCGCCCCAGTGGGGTGCCGTGTCCAGCTCTAGGGTGCCCAGCACAGGAAGGACATGAGGACACCAAGCTGATTAAAGGGATGGAGCAGCTCTGCTGTGAGGAAAGGCTGGGAGAATTGGGATTGTACAGCCTGGAAAAGAGGCAGCTCCCAGGTGAACTAATTGTGGCCTCCCAGTACCTGAAGAGAGCTGCAAGAAAGATGGAGAGGAACTATTTACAAGGGCCTGGAGTGACAGGACAAGGGGGAATGGATTCAAACTGAAAAAGAGTAGTGTTAGATTGGATATTGGGAAAAAATTCTTTACTGGGTGGATGGTGAAGCCCTGGCACAGGTTGCCCAGAGAAGCTGTGGCTGCCCCTGGATCCCTGGAAGTGTTCCAGGTTGGGTTGGATGGGGCTTGGAGAACATGGTCTAGTGGAAGGCGTCCCTGCCCGTGGCAGGGGTTTGGAATGGGATGAACTTTAAGGCTCCTTCCAACCCAACCCAACCCGTTCCACGCCCCCTGTGCTTTCGCAGATCCGCGCCTACATGAACAAGTTCATCACCGAAGAGGGCGTTCACCACGAGCGGGACCTGCTGGCCCTGAGGTTCCTCTCCATCAATTCCATCGTCGATCCCTGGGTCTTCGCCATCCTGCGGCCGCCGGTGCTGCGGCTCCTGCGCTCGGTGCTGTGCTGCCAGGTGACCCCCACGCTCCCGGACAGCCGGACTCCCTGCCCTGCAAAGACAAAACTGGCAGCACAGCTGGGCCCCTGCGAGCCATAGATCCATCAGCCGTGCTGGGAGACTCCTGCCAGGTGAAGCACAGCCCGGGCAGGTGTTAAGGGAGCTCTGCCTTACGGCCCCTAAAGAGACGTGACTGCCACGGGGTGGGCCCAGTGTGGGCGGCCCGGCCAGGTATCGCCTGGGAAGCCCCTGGAAAGCCGGTGTGGTTTCTCACAGGGCAAAAAATGACAGTGGGATGAGATCAGAAGTGTTGATGAAGAGCTGGGAAGGGCTTGTAACCCTTGGATGGGGCGGGTCCCACAGGGAAAAGGGGGAAGGCTCCGTTCAGCCCCGCTGTGGGAGGGGCAGGGAGTGAAGCATGGGGGGCTTTGCTACAACACTGCTGCTGGGGGGGAGATGTTGGGAAGCAGGGCTTCCTGCTGGTGTGCTTCCCAGAAAGGTCCCTGCGGTCATTTTGGGGCGCAGGCAGCTCCTGGAGGTGGGGCTGGGGTGGCCATTGTGGCTGCAGGAACCCGTCTCTGCCCGCAGATCCCTAGGGACTGGGGAGGAGAGGAAGGGAGCAGTGTACCCCCAGATATTCCCCCTTTTTTTTTTTTTTTTTTTTGGTAGGCTGGTTGCCTAAAGAAATGCACTTTTTCAGGTGTAGATCTCTGTGCATGTGTCTGTCTGTCTGTCTGTCTCTCCCACACCCCAGAGATTTTAAGCACCGGGGCAGAGGAAAAAAAAGCCAAATTATGGCACTTCCCTCGGGCTGTGATGGAGCTGAGTCTGCAGCCCCTCCTCAGCACCCATTTTGCAACTCCATTTGCCTCGTGGTTTGGGCAAAAACCATCAAGGGGAATAAAGAACCTGACCAGGGTTTGAGAGGTTTCGGTCACAACCATGAGCTTCACCCACAGCCAGGGTGATGCAGCTGGTGGGTTTTTGGGGCATCACTTCTCTGGGAGTTGTTTGCAATATAAAAACCAAATGAAAATGTCAGTAAAACCAAAAAAAAACCCAAGGGCAAAACCATCCAGGTCATCAATCCTGGACTGAGGCAGCGTCCCCCAGCGCCTCTGTTTTGTTTTGCGGGATGCCTCCTGATCTTTGGGGCTCTAAGCTGGTTCCCACTGGGATGAGCAGCATCCAGTCCCACATTCCAAGGCTGCTGCTGCCATTAGGGCTCATCCAGGGTCTCGTGGCTCCTGTTTGTGCAGCATCCAGCACTCATGATGTCACTGTGCTGTTGCAAGTGGGGTGTCTCATCTGGGAGCTGCAGCTCTGCTCAGAATGCCCCAAAAGTGCCGAGATTTGGAGCTTCTCTGCTGTGTGAGAGCTGAGATGACGTAAAAAAAAAAATGAAGTAGTTATTATTTAAATAATAAATGTCTCTCAAAGGATCCTGCTGAGTCATGTGTGGGTTTGTGCTTATGATGCACCTCAGGGTAGATCCGGCTCCTGGAGGAAATGTGTCGCCTGCCTGGAGCATCCGTGGGATGAAGCCACGGGAATGGGGAGGTGGGGAGAGGGTAGAAGGAGAGGCTGGGAGGAGAAATGGGAGCCTCAAATTTCCTAAAAAGTGAAAATAAACCGCGTTCTAGAGACGTGTGATGACATTTTTACCTCACCTCTGCCCTGCGGCCGCAGAAACACCTCCGAGCTCTTCCCTAAAACTCACGTTTCCCGCAGCCGGGGAAAAAGCAGGCAGAGTTCCTACCTGTTATCAAAACACACAAACCCGAAAAAATACCCACCCTACGGAAAGGCAGATATTTCAGTCGCTTCTGTCAGGCAGCCAACATCCACAGGAAGTTTACTGGCCTCCCAAATGCGTGTGGGCAGATGTCAGGCATGGGCTGCTGTTGCTCAAGCCCCGCTGGCGGGTTTCTGTCAGCACCCCGTGGCTGGGGGGGGGGCGTTTTGGAGGGGCTGGAATTTCGGGGGGAGGGTTGCAAGACGTGCCTGTACCCGAGGGTGAAGTCGGGGTGCTCCCCACCCCAGTGGAACGTCATTATCCATCCCTGGGTATCTGGGTTTGTCAGCGTCCCACCCACCAGCTCGGAGATCGCGGCTGCCCCTTCCCAAATTATCCCCCCATCTGAGCACAAGGCAGGAGCAAAGGCACTTCCTGGGTTCAGGGTTTGGTGCACCCCATCACGTCTCAGTGCTTGCTTGGCTTGAAAAGGAGCCGAAAAAGCTTTGGGAAGAGCCCAAAGAAGAGCTCTCCGTGCGCTTCATTTATCGGGATGGTCGTGACCTGGTTGCTCTCGCTGGAATTTCAGGACCAGTTGCCCAATTTCTCTGCTAAGCCAGAGGGAAAGGCTGCCTGGGATGCGAAAGACAAAAAGAAAATTAAAAAAAAAAAAAAAAAAAAAGGGGGAAAATATTGGGAATGCCAAGGGGGTCACATCTTTCAGAGCATGCCAAGGAATGTGACAGCGGTGGGAAGAGGGCCCCGCGGGATCCACGGCAGCACAGGGGACAAACCCCAGGCCGAATGCTCCAAGTGGCTCCAAGGATTCACTCCTGCCAGCCCCCAGCTCGGCTGCTGACCACTAATTGCCAGCTGCTTGTTTTTCTGGGAGGTTTATGGCTCCTCATCAGGAAACACGGGGTTGGGAGATGACCTCCGGCATCCATCCCGCTGGGATCTGCTTGTTGCCGCAGTGGAGTCACCCTCCCAACGATAGGGGACAGCAGTCCTGGCAAGTGGGGTCAAGGAAAGGATCTGGAGCAAATTTAATGGCAAAATATAAGAAAAATTCATGCTTGCAATGGGAGGAACCCAGTGAAACCCGAGTTCCTTTGCATCCCGTGGCACTTCAGATCCTCAGGATACATCCTGTGCTGCTGGGCAGGGGATATCCCCAGAGCCCTAAAACAACGACAAAAAAAGCCATCAGCCCTCCTTCTCTGATTCCAGAGGAGAAAAGGGCCTTAATTAGAGCTCTGTGAGGACAAGGAGGGCTGTGAATCTCTCCGTATCCTGCACAAAACACCGCCTTTATTAACGTCACGCAGGAGCCCTCACAAAAGCCAGACTGATTTGACTCTCCTCAGCCCCACTGACGTGCGTTCAGCTCAAATCCAAGATGACAAAGTGTCATTTCGTTGCCTGTGCAGGCCCTTAATGACTCTTCTATTCCCACACCGGAAACGCTCTGGCACAGGGAAGCACCAGGCAGGTCTGTACGTCTGGAAACGGAGCTGCTGGAGAGGAGAGAGGGAGAAGCCACTCCTTGGGGACAGGGGATGGCAGCAGCTGCCCTCCAGACTCCTCAAATATGGAGAGGGACTTCACACTGCACCAGAGGGAGCTGTGGGACCCAGGGGGCTGGGATCCTCTCCAGAAACTGCGATAGGATCGTGGAATGGTTCGGGCTGGGAGGGACCTTAAAGCCAATCCAGTTCCAACCCTCCTGCCATGGGCAGGGACACCTTCCACTAGCCCAGGTTGCTCCAAGCCCCATCCAACCTGGCCTGGGACACTTGAAATGATGGTGATGCAACAAAACATTTTGTGGGAAATGGGCATTTTGGGAGAGTAGAGAAGAAAGGAAGGGAGATTTTCTCTTACTCCCTCCTTTCCTGGGTAGTTTGGAACATCTCCTCCACATCTCTGTGCTGGCAGCGAGGAGGAGACCCTCAGTTTTTGGTTGTTTTGGCCGCTTGACCCCATTCCTGGGAATCAGCGGATGTGGGCACATTAGGGGACAGTCTGTGAAGGTGGGTTGGGTTGGGATGGGACAGGATGGGATGTGTGTGGTGGTGTGTCCAAGCTCCCTGTGGAGCACCGCTGGGATTGCTGCTCCAGCCCCTTGGGAGTCTGGCAGGAAGGCAGAGCTGCCTTTCCTGGCAGAGGACGGGCACTGAGCCCATCTCCTCGGGCTCCAGGAGGGCGTGTGGTGTGATGGATGTGGCACTGCATTAAATGGATTAGGCAAGGAAGTGACTTCAGGGGACATGGCATGGCTGGGCTCCCAAAACGGGCTCTGTGGCGGTGCCAGGAGTAACCCTGGCACTGGATGTGGGAGCTGATGGCAATTCCCTGGGACTGGAGTCCAGGGAAAAGGCACATTTGGCTTTGCTGTCGCTGCCTCCTGCTTTTGCAGCTGGTTTTGCATCTCTGCATTGTCACAGATTAACGTGAGACCTTTCCTTGGAGTCCTTCAGATCCTCCCACGTGTCCTGTTCTGAAAGGGGGATCAGCCTTTTCCAGGGGTTGTTTTCGGTATCCCAAACATCACAAGCTTAGAATCAGAGCCCGGTGCCCAACTCTGAGACCCAAAATGAATAATCTGTGGCCTGTCCCCTGTCATCATGAGGGATTGTGAGACCTCGGAAGCAGCAGGGCTGTGGCAGAATTACCTCTCTACAGCCAGATTTTCATAGAACCACAGAATCCCTGAATGGTTTGGGTTCTAAAGGACCTTAAAGACCATTTCAGTGCCTATCCCTGTCATGGGCAGGGACACCTTCCACTAGCCCAGGTTGCTCCAATCCCTGTCCAACCTGGCCTTGGACACTTCCAGGGATCCAGGGGCAGCCACAGCTTCTCTGGGCAACCTGTGCCAGGGCCTCCTCTCCCTCATAGCCAGGAATTCCTTCCCAATATCCCATCTATCCCTGCCCTCTGGCAGTGGGAAGCCATTCCCCCTTGTCCCGTCCCTCCATCCCTTGTCCCAGGTCCCTCTCCAGCTCTCCTGGAGTCCCTTTAGGCCCTGGAAGGTGCTCTCAGGTCTCCCTGGAAGTCTCCCTTTCTCCAGCTTGAGCACCCCCAGCTCTCCCAGCAGAGCTTTTAATTTTCAAGCATTTTTTTTTGCAATGTATGAATAATAATTATTTTCCTTCTGGCTTTTGGCTTCAGCACTGCAGAGGGGGGGAGAAGATCTCATGTGAGTTTTCCCCAAACTACCATAAACTCTCAGCTTCTCAGGCCTAACAAGTTTTTGTTGTTGTGGGTATATGACCTCATACCCCTGTGGCCAGGGACAGTCATTTTCTCATGGTAATCCTTTTTTTTCCTCTTACTCTGACAGGAAAATAACAACCTGAACAACCTGGTCTAGGGGGAGGTGTCCCTATCCACGTCAGGGAGTTGGGATGGGATGGGCTTTAAGGTCCCTTCCAACCCAAATCATTCCATGATTTTAGGATTCTATGGATGTGCAGCTCTCCTGCTGCTCGTTTCTCCTCCCAGGTGAACCATGAGGGTGAGCCAGAGGATGCTGGGGATGGCACTGGATACTGGGATGACAAG